TAGGTTACTTTCCAGCCAAGGTGAACCCACCACACCCTGCAATCTCCTTGAGCTGGTGGTGGAATGGCCAGGATGCTCCAGGCAGGCTGGGAAGCCATTTGGTGCAGACAGACAACAGGACATGCCTCAGTGGAAGGTGGCTCATGGAGTATGACTCTCTGCTTTGGGGCTTTAGAAGGAAGGGCCAGCATGGGCTTTGGAGATGCAGGTAGCCCCAGCTCTTCTGCAAAGTGGGTAAAAGCTGGTGCTCACCACAAAGCTCTGCCTGCTGAGCACAGCCAGCAAAGGCACTGCTGACCACAATCTGTTATTTGTATTCCTGACTCACTCCTTCCCTTTCCCCTGAAATGAGGACGTATTTACAGTCAAACTAAACATTTCTGGGAGCCATGTGAGCTGAAAGGTCAGCCCTCAGCGTGAGGAAACCAGGTTCTCCTGCTGGGAAACACCTCAGCTTCCCAACCATTCCCCGGGCACGGTGTGAAGGAACCCTTACGATACCCCTGCAAAACTTTGGAGAGGGGAACAGAGAGCTCCTGGCTGGGGTGGTTTGTGAAGGTCTGACCTTCTGCAACAATACAACAGGCTGAGACAATGTCTGGTTGCAACTTGCAGCTGCAAAGGCTTCTCCTGGCAAAGTCAGGCCACCACCAGACATGATCTGCACATAGTTGTAGCTGCCCCTCACTCCCTCTTCCTTTACACAGCCTTAAAATATCATGTGAGTATTAAGTAAAGCAGCCAGCACCAGCTTCCCCTTCTCCACGGGGATTAACAAAGCAGGGACAGCCCACGCCTGCAGGACATACTGGGCAGATACATCCCTCTGTGCCCTGTCAGGTGAGGAATCCTCCAGAAACCAACATCTCTGAGGCATTTTACAAAAACTGCAGCAAGAGGGGAAGGGCGCAACCCACACCTTTGATTCCCCAAACAAACTCAGAGTGCGAGCTGCTGGAGAAAGGACAAATCCCCTGCATGGGACAACAGGAGGCTGCATTTAAGTCTGAAGAGCTGTCTAAAGCATCAAGAGCAACAGGGGGAAACTGAGCAACAGGAACAAGGTCAGGTTGCATCTCCTGGCCTGGAGCAGAGCCCTGTGAGTATTTCTGAGCTCCTCAACATGGTCACCCTGCACTACCCCAGGGTGACACCCTGCAGTGACTCACAGAGTTGAAGACTCAGTTTTGTAGCTCTGTGGCTCAATCACCAGCTTCAGCCCAGCAAGGAGGCCTGAGGTGCCAGGGAGGGGCAGGCAGGAGGTGCCGAGCTGTCATGCACAGCCCACCCACACCGCAGAAATTCCTGTTCTTGGAAAAAGATGTTGGTCCCCTCAGGATCACCCTGGTGCATCAATGAATGCACACTGACAGTGTGGGGAGAAAGAGGAAGCACTGCAAACTGCTGTTCTATTTATCTTCTCCTCTTCCTGGAAATGGGATGCTGCAGACTCTGTCCGGTTTGGGGAGCCTGGAGCTGTGTGAGCCTCATCCTGCCATTCCAGGCTGTGCTGCCAGCAGTGCCCAGCTGTGTAAGAGCTATCCCTGCTTGGAAAAAAAGCCTATTTTTCTGCTGCTGAACAACACCCCATGATCCAGGGGAGGATGGAGGGGGCTGGGACAGGACACAGAGCAGTGAGACATATTTTGCTGCTCATGAGCACAGGGAGCTGTACGTGCAACTTGGGAACTACCTGCCAAGGCAGCACGAACAAGAAATGCAAAATGCTGGAAAGGAGGCCAAGGAAAAGGGTGTCCCAGGACAGCCCTGATGTCAAGGCCCTGTCACAGTTGTAGGTAAGCTAAGGCGTGGATTTTGGTATAATCAACATCTCTGGAGCTCTGCAGAGCACCTGGCACCTGCAAAGACCTCTGCCAAACTTGCAGGGCAGCCTCTCCTAAAATACACCCCTTAAAACATGCAGTCTTGCATAATATGTGTAGCATCAAAGCCCTGACAGCCGGCAGCCACAACTTTTCCTGCAGCACAAACGAGCCCTGACTGCAGGCAAGGGCGGCAGGAGCAGCTTCCCACAGCACCAGTGACGGAGAGTGGGGTGGGTGTCCCCACCACGTCCGTCCACCCCCTGAGCCGCTGCCCACTCGGGTGTTTGCCAGCATTTCCCCGTGCGGGCCGCAGGCCATTGGCCCCTCCTTTCTCCTCCAGCTTCCGCACAGATACTCCTGATTTCATCACTCCGCTCTGCGAGCAGCGCTGAAGGCGCACTGCAACAGCGGAGCCCTGCGAAAGGAGACTTCCCCAGGGAGAGGCACCTTCCAGCCGAACACCCGAGGTCCTTTTGGGAAACCCCAGGAAGGCAGAAACCCCACGGTTCCCTCCTGGTTTCACCCTGCCCTGACTGCTTGTCTCCCAGACAAGCCTCCGGGTCTGAAGTGTTCTCACTCCTCCGCCTGCACGTAAATAAAGCACTCAGAAGGGATTGTGGAGATGGGGCTGCACCTGCCTACGCACACTGGCAGCGGGCTGGGAAGGGGATGGGATATTCTGAGGAGTAGCTGAGCAGGAACGATCTGAACTCCTGGGGGTCTCTCAGACCCCTCCAGACCAGAACAGGACACAGTTCACAACAGGAACCAGCTTTTAAAAGCTCCCAAAGCAAGATTTCCCTCAGCAAGCTGGAGCGCCCCATAAGTGAGTGTTATTAAACCACTGATGGCAACTGAGGAGCAAAATGAAGGAGTGCAGAGCTCCCTTCCCTCCTCTCCTGCTCCAAAGCAAACATTTCACCTGTCCCCTGGCTTTATCACCAGGGATGGGACCAGGGCCAGCTCAACCTCTGCACTGCCGGAGGCTGGGGACAGCACAGCAGGTTACATCATGTCACAGGTTTGGGCTAATTCGGCTGGTATTGATCCAGCTGCAGAAGTTTGGAAAACACTTTGTCAACAACCCCAGCCCCGGCAGAGTGATGCTTTCCCAGAGTGGGGCATCCCAGCGGGTGACTTTTCCAGCCCTGAGCCGCTCTCCTTAATGCGGGAATCTCGGGACGCTTTGCAGCAGAGCCAAACCCACCTCGGTTTGCCGCGGAGCGGGAGGAAGGGGAGGCCGAAGCACCGGGAGGTTTTTGAGTGACTTCTCCAAGGTTACAAAAAGCATCTGTGGTTTAGAGGAAGTGAGCAAACTGGGTGCTTCCTCTCTGAGTGTCAAAGGGAGGAAAGCAAACCTGGTCCAAGCAGGGGTCAGGAGCATCTCCAGGCACGGAGATGAGAAGTCAGTGGGAGCAGAGGGACCGGGATGCCGCTGTCCACCAGGCCCAGGACAGAGACCCAAGGTCGTGGGGAGAGCAGTGCCCACCCGGGCCCAGCCGGCCTGGGAGGTTCGCAGATGTGCAGCAGATTTTGCCTGGGATGTTTGGGGTGGTCCCACCCCGGAATGTTCAGAGGGACCCCTCCCTGGGATGCTCTACAGGATCCCTCCTGGAGATGTTGACAGGAGTCCCTGCTCGGGGTGACCGGGGGAGTCTGTCCCGCCCAGCTGGGGGGTCCCGCCCTGGCCTGCCCGGGGGAATGCTCGGCGTGTCCCCCGTGGCAGACGCTCACGAGGGTCCCTCCTTGTTCTGCCCGGGGGTGCCTGTCCCGTTCGCCCGGGGCATCTCGCTCTGGGCTGCTCGGGGGTCCCTCCGTCTCCAGGCCAGCGGGGCCCTGCCCAGGCCCTGTCCCCTCACAACGCCGCCCACCTACCCAGCTTCATGAGGCAGGCCAGGAGGATCCAGAGCGAGATCTCGAAGGGGATGCGGACGTGCGTGTAGTCGATGCCGATGACCGGGAAGGCTTTGCGGGGCTTGGCGTGCCCCTCTCCCGAGCCGTTGGCCGGCTGCTCCTTGAGCGGGTGGATCTCCTCGGGCGCGGCGGGCGGCGCGGGGGTGAAGCCCGGCACGGCGCCGCCGGGCAGCGGCGCGGGCTGGCCCTCGGAGGTGAGCATGGGGTTGGCCTGCAGCACCTGCCCGGGCAGCAGCGGCCCCAGCAGCAGCAGCGCCCAGGGCAGGGCGCGCAGGGCCGCGGCGCCCATGGCGGCGGGCGAGGGGCGGGGGGCGGCGGGGCCGCCGCGGCGGCGAGGGCTGGAGCCGCCCCGCCACAGCCCGAGCGCAGCTGGGCCGGCCGCGGAGCCCGGCTCGGCCCTCACGGCGGGCGGGAGGCACCGGCGGGAGGGACCGGCGGGAGGGACCGGCGGAGGGGCGGGGCGGGAGGCGGGAGCGGGGCGGGGAGCGGGGGGCCGGGGAGGGGATGGGGATGGGGATGGGATGGGGATGGGGATGGGGATGGGAATGGGGATGGGGATGGGGATGGGGATGGGGATGGGGATGGGGATGGGGATGGGGATGGGGATGGGGATGGGGATGGGGATGGGGATGGGGATGGGGATGGGGATAGGGATGGGGATGGGAATAGGAATGGGGATGGGAATGGGAATGGGGATGGGAATGGGAATGGGAATGGGGATGGGGATGGGAGCGGAGTGAGGGGAGAGGGAAGGGAATGGGGATGGGGATGGGAATGGGAATGGGAATGGGAATGGGGATGGGAATGGGGATGGGGATGGGAATGGGGATGGGGATGGGGATGGGAATGGGAATGGGGATGGGGAATGGGGATGGGGATGGGAATGGGAATGGGAATGGGGATGGGATGGGGATGGGATGGGGATGGGAATGGGGATGGGATGGGGATGGGATGGGGATGGGAATGGGGATGGGGATGGGAATGGGAATGGGAATGGGAATGGGAATGGGAATGGGAATGGGAATGGGAATGGGAATGGGAATGGGAATGGGGATGGGATGGGGATGGGGATGGGAGCGCAGTGGGGCTGTGTAAGGGGAGATTGGGGGGCAGACGGGGAGAAGAGGGGAGAACGGGAGCTGGGGGTGCTGATGGGAGAGGGAGGCGAGGGAAAAGGGAAAGAGAGAGCGTGAGAGGGGGCAGAAGGCAGAGTGCAGGAAAAGGGGTTGTGGGGTGTGTGTATGTGGGAAGGGGGTACAGGGGCAGGGGGAAAGCAGGATCTGTGAGCAGGGGGCTGCTGCTGTGGGGGAGCAGAGCGGGGCTCTGTGCCCGGCAGCATGTGGCTAGCAGGGACATGGGGGTGCCCAGCCACCCTGTGGGGACCAGCCAGGCCGCGGGGGACTGGCACAGCTCCCTGGGCCCTCGGGCATAGCTCAGCAGGCAGTGCCTCCGTGTTTGCTCCTCGCAGAGGCACGGCCTGCTCTGCTTGGCCTCAGTGTGCAGCAGAGCAGGAGAGCTCTGGGGTGGGGGCTCTGGGGGAACAGAGGGACCTGGTGGCCACTGGCTCCCCACCGTGGGGCTGTAACCCCATCTCTGCTTGCTGCTGTGGCCATGCCCTTCTCCCCGGTGACCGCTTGCTCTGAGTCACCAGGAAATCTGATAAGGCTCCAGTTAAACCACTGGAGTGGTGTGGGGGGGTTGCTTGGCACTGCGGCCAGGCTCAGCCACCCTGATTTCTTGGCTCTCCTCCAACATCCTGACTGTCACATGTGTGTGACCAGGGCAAGCTGAAGGAGTTCTTACCTGGTTTACTGACTAAACTTTAGGTGCCAAGGGGCCTTTTGGTAAAGATGCAGCCCCTAATTCTTGGGAGAACTGCATGTGGGGAAGGCACAGGCCCTTTCCGTGACATGTGGCAGCTGAGCCTCGAGCTTTGAAGGTGACGTTTTCTGGTTTGCAGCAGTTACATTCTTGATTTAAGCCTCCCAAAGCACTAGCAGTCGGAGGGCAGGAGGGGAGCCTGTGGCAGCTATAGGATGGAAAATCATCCCCAAACGTGACCCATCAATTAAAGCAGATGATCAGCCCCAGCAGGAACCTGCTAGGTGTGTCAATTCCTCTTTTCCGTTTGGCTGCGTGCTGGGTAGTCAAATTAATCTGTTTTAGTGATTAAGCAAGAAACCCTGAGCGTTTCTCATCCTGAAGGGCTTAGTCATATCTGGGTGAGAAGCCTGGGCCAGTGATGCAGCTGGCGCTGTTTGGGTTGAGGCAGGACCGTGCTCTGGCAGTGGGAGACTCCTTGAGGCAAAACCACGCTTGGCTTTCAGAAACAGTTCCTAGAAGCTAGAACAGGTACAGTGTTCCTGTGAAATCACTGGCTGGGGTTTTGCTCCCTCCTGGAGCTGTGGTGGAGCGGATGCAGCACCCAGGGAAGGCCTCGTGGCTCTGGCAGCGGCTCCCGTTTGTCCTGGACAAGGTTGGAAAGGGCCTGTCAGCCTGTTGAGCTCTGCAAAGCATTTTGGTTGGTGCAGATCCTTGGCCAAGAGGAAATCTCCATGCTCCGGCCTGGCCGTTTTAACCTGCAAACAAATCCTCCTCCAGCTCCAGGTGTCTGCAGCACAAACCACTTACAGAGTAAGAGCTGCGTCTGTGAAACTGCATTTGCGCCCTGGGACATCCTAACTATGGCACAGGGTGTAAAATTGAACTTTATGTGCACGCTGTGGGGTTTTTACACTGAATTTCCTTTTTTTTTCTGTGTAGCATAAGTTGAGGATAGAAAATGAGACAGGTATTTATTGAAATGCCTTTTAAAATTCATAATAATTAAAAATGTATTTTGTGTTACTTAAATTGTTTTCCCTTCACCTGTAAGAAGGGCAAGCTCTGAGGCAGATTTATTCCTTGCTCCCTGTACCTTTCCTTGGAACAGCCACAGCCCTGTTCCACGAGGACCCTCTCCAAGGTGTGGTTCTCCTGCAGGAGCTGTGCTGCTGGGAGAACTCCTTGTTTGCATTCCCCAGCTTTCAAGGCTGCATCATGAAGCTCCAGGTCTCACAGTCAGAACCAGCAAGTCTTCCTTGGCTCCAGCCCTGGCATTTCTGTCACCAGCTTGAGAAAAAAATCAAGCTCCATGTCCCAATTTTCTCTCCACCAGCAAGGAAAACTTCCATGTCAAGGACATCTGAAGCCTGCCTGATTTTCTGCGTGGAGCTTTGGGTCCCCATGGAGATGGCATCTGAGAAAAGAAGATAAAACCCTTTTGTGAGGATGGATCCCGGTTATTATTTGTTTAATTAGAGTCTGGACTGATGCAGAGGCAACAATTAACTATTACCTTCTGTAAAGGACTTTGACAACAGCTGAATAGGTTAATGACTTGCAAGATGGAGACAAATCATTGCAGCTGTCATTTATGAGGCTGGAGGTGCAAAGAGCCTTGATGTCTCTGATTTAAGGGGCTTTTCCTCCTTCTTTTGGAATAATCAAGTAGGAATTTTCTTCTGCCGTGCAGCTGGGATTATCTGGGAGCCAGGGAATTAAGTTCCAAATGAAAATTTAAACTATTCATTATGCTTTATTAGCAGACCTCAAGAATGTTTAATTTTAGAAGTAAATTATAGGGAAGTGAATTGGCAAGTTTTGCTTTCTTTTGCACACCTCCCCTTTTTGGGAGGGTTCTGTGAAAAACGCCAATCATTTGTTTTAAAATTTTAAAAGTTTAACAGTAATAAAATTATTATAAAAATAGAGTAATAAGTATTTGGACAATCACAGTTAGGACAATAAAGGACAATAAAAACCAAAGAAATATAGACAGTCTGGGTCCCAACAGCACACACGATAACAAAGGATTAACCCTTAAAAGCAGCAGCCTGTTGCATATTCATATATCTCATACATGATGCATAAATTATTTTCAAACAAAGGGTGTTCTCTGGTTATTGTCAACTTCTTCCCCTTAATCAAAGATGGAGAGGAGGTGGAAGAATGTTTGTCTTTTCCCATAAAGAGGGAGTAACTCTTTTCTTGGGGATTTAGGTGTCTTGCTGCTGTTATCTCTGTGCAAAGGATTTCTTGATTATCTCATCCCTTTCTCGAGCTAGTTAAAAGAATATCTTACATTGCATAGTTTCTATTATAACATTATGTTATAACCTAAAACTATATCTAATTAATACAACATAACACATCGAGTATTCCTTTGCAAAGAGCCATTCATATACTATCACCTCAGTATGATATATTCATGTGTGAGATATATGAATATGCAACAGGCTGCTGCTTTTGAGGGTTAATCCTTTGTTAGTGTGTGTGGTGTGTGCTTTCAGGGCTTAATTGACCTAGGAAGACACCCAGAGTGTGTTTATTTTTTTATTGTGCTAACTCTGATTGTCCAAATTGTTACTCCTCTATTTTTATAGCTGTTTTATTACTATTAAACTTTTCACAGCGGCGTTTTTCGCAGAACCCTCCCAAAAAGGAGCCGTGTGGAAGAAAGCCATCGGCTCGGTGTGCGTTCTCAGCGGGGCCGGGCGCTCGGTGTCCCCGGGCTCTCGGTGTCCCCGGGCGCTCGGTGTCCCCGGGCTCTCGGTGTCCCCGGGTGCTCGGTGTCCCCGGGCGCTCGGTGTCCCCGGGCTCTCGGTGTCCCCGGGCGCTCGGTGTCCCCGGGCTCTCGGTGTCCCCGGGCTCTCGGTGTCCCCGGGCCGGGGACCGGGCGGAGGGCAGGGCTGTGCAGACACTGCCACCGCCTGGCTCTGGGCTCTGCACGGCAGCTCGCCTTCCCCAGCCAGGGCAGCGCCTGAAGCAGCCAGCGAGGGACAGGGAGCGGGCTCGGTTTAAACGGTCTGGAGGGGCAAGGAGGAATAGCCTTAAGCTGGCGGAGTGTGAGTTTAGATTGGATTTTGGGAAGGAATCCTTCCCTGTGAGGTGGGCAGGTCCTGGCACAAGTGCCCAGAGAAGCTGTGGGTGCCCCTGGACCCCTGGCAGTGCCCAAGGCCGGGCTGGATGGGGCTGGGAGCAGTCTGGGATGGTGGGAGGGGTCCCTGCCCATGGCAGGGGTGGGATGGGGCCCTTCTACCACAGCAACAGGACCCTCAGCCCCCTCTTCTCCGGGCTGGACAAACTGAGTGACCTCAGCCTATGCCTTCCTGGCTTCCTCCCAGGCCCTTCACCATCCTCGGCGCTGTGGAGCGGTCCGAGCTCAGGGGGCTTTAACGCCCAGGTTTAGGGAAGGGGAGCCGGCGGCCATCACTCCCTCCTTTGACTACATCTCCCAGCAGCCCCTTCGCTACGCTCCCGCCCCCCAACGCCGATTGGCGGATCGCCCGTGATCCGCATCCTCCCTTCCCATTGGCTCCGTGAGCTGCCAGTTCCGGCGCGGCGGCGAGCAGGAAGGGGCGGAATTCACAAACGGGATTTACGCCTTTTGCGCGGGGCGGGGCGCGGCGGCGCTCGGGGGGGGCGGTTGCGCAGTTGGCGTGGCGCATGCGCAGCGCGCGGCGGCGGGGGGCGCAGCGCAGCCCCGGACAGCTGGCGGGGGTACCGGGGGTACCGGGGGTACCGGGGCCGGGGGCACGGCCGGGGCCCCGCCGCGGCCCCTGCGCTGCGTCCCGCTCTGCCCCGCATGGATGGGCCCTCGCCACCTCCAGTGCCCGCTGCGCTCTCGCCCGGGAGGCCTGACAGGTAACGGGCCCCGCCGCCCTGACAGATCCCCGCCGCCCCCCGACCCCTTCCCTGCCCGCCGCCCCCCGGTGCCACCTTCCCTGGCAGTGCACCCTGTACCCGTCTCGCTCGCAGCTGCATCAGCCGGCCCCGGTGCCCCGTTCCCCGGCCCCGGTGCTCCGTTCCCTGGCAGCCCTTCCCCCGGTGCCCCCTTCCCTGGCAGCTGCATCCCCCCGTTCCCTCCCCGCTCAGGCACACCTCGTCCCCCTTCCCTGTCAGCCGGACTTCTTTGCTGTCAGCTGTGCCCCTGTCCCCTCTTCCTGCCAGCCCTGTCGGCCCCAAACCCATCCCCGCGTACCGCTTCCCTCTCAGCTGCCCCCCTCACCTCCTTTCCTGACATTTCCCCCACCATTGCCTTTCCCATTAGCTTCCCCCACCCCAGGCTCTGCCAGGTGTCCCCTCATCCCCCCGAGGTGTCACCCCTTTCTCTTACCAGCAGTCTGACTGCCTTTAAGGGTCTCTGCTTTATCCTTGCTCCCACTCCAGCCCCTCACCCGCATTTTCCCCAGGCCCTCTTCCCCCCAGCCCGGCATCCCCTGCCAGGTGCAGCTCCTGCTTTCCGGCTGCCTTTCCCCCTCCCAGCCCTGGCACTGCCCTGTCCTCGCATTCCTGTCCCCTTTGCTGGCTGTGACCCTGCCCTGCCCCTCCTGTGCCCGCTGTCCCCTGGCTAAAGCCTTCACAGGAGCGTTCCCTGCCCGGTGGGTGTCCTGCAGCCCCTCTCCTCCTCTGCCAGTGAGACTCTTGCTGCAGCTGCTGGGCCGTGTGGGACTTGGGGCTGAGGGGTTGCCTGGCCTCTTCCCTTTTTCCCGTGGATGTGCCAGCTGGGGATCAGGGGAGGGGCAGGGTTGCAGTGGGAGGGCTGAGCTGCGGGCACCGTGTGGCCCAGAGTTTCCCTGACAGTGCCCTGCGCTGGCTCTGTCAGGGCTCCCATCTCCCCTCTTCTCCTGGGGAGCCACTGCAGCTCCTTCAGCTGGAGAGAAACCTTTAAACAAATTGTTTACTGCTAACCAGGGCATTCCCTCTTGGTTTTTCACGTTTCCTAAAAAAAAATATTCCTATCTACACGTCTGTATTTTAATTTGATCTGTGACCTCTTGGAAAGTCACGGTAAAGAAGGCAGGGAAACAAGTTGTGAGGCTAAAGAAGCCTTTTAGGACGGGTTCTGGGTGGTGAAATAATTTCTAGGTGCTGAAGGGAAGGGTCTAAGGAACCCTCACTTAGGATGAGCTGTGTATCCAGAGGCTCGTGGTGTGCAGAGTGCTGCTTTTTCCCAGTGACCTTGAGTTTAGAGCCTGAGACACATCCAAGCAGCTGGGAGTGGGCTTGCTTGTTTAAAAGTGCTGATTTCAGGAGTCCTGCTGCTCTGTGGAGTTCCTTGGGGCAGATGGAGCTTTCCCAAAGGGTGCCCATGCCCCGGCTGGGGCTCAGCCCCCTCTGTGCAGAGCCCATCACTGTTGTTGTGTTGCTGTGGGTGGTTCCATGAGAGGGAAATACAATCCAGCAAAGGGGCAATCCCCCAAACCCAGGCTGTGTTGGGAGCGTTTGATGTTAAATTGATGGGATTATTTGTGTTATCAGTGTTGAGGTTTTGTTTCCAGGCTTGGAGTGAGTGTTCCTCTCCATGCCCTGGAGTACCCTTTGGAAGTGTACTTTCCCAGGAGCTTAAGGGGCTTTTAAGTGCCTGTCAGTGTAAACAGAGCCTGCCAGATTTGGAGCCCATGGAAGTCTGTGCCTTGTTAATTTTTGACTGTGGATTTAAGCGTTGCGAAAGTTCTGTTTGTGCCCTGGAGTTGTGTGTGGCAGAGTCCGGGGGAAAGTGCAGGAGCTGCAGGTGGGCTGATCCTCTGTGTGCTCCAGGGAGCAGCTTGAGGAGAGCTTGTCACTGGATCCCAGGTTTTCAGTCGTGTCTGGGGTGTCCCAGGCAGGTTTGGAGCAGTGAGGGGTGAGGGAAAGCTGTCCTTGAAGGGTGATAGAGAAATGTAACCCCAGAGAGGTCCCGGGACCATGGAATGGTGTGGTTGGAAGGGACCTCACAGACGATGTTGTTGCAGTGGCAGGAGCACCTTCCACTGTTGTGCTTCCAGGTTGTTCCAAGGCCTGGCCTGGAACAGAGAGGGAGGGGTGAGGTTATCTCTTACATGTAGTCAAAGTGAAGCTGCTTGTGGAGTCAGCCCTGGTAGCAGCAGTGCAGCTTTGTCCCAAATTGCCCCTCTCTCTGGGACTTTATCCCTCATTCCACCAGGGGCTGGTTGTGCCGGGTTAGCCAAAAGCCAGAAGCTGCAAGAATGGGATAGAGCAGAATTTGCATGGTGGTTTTGCCTAAAGAGGAACATTCTTTGCCAATTTCCATGGTGGAAGTGTCCAAGGAATTTCCAATTCCTTTAGTGGTGACAAAGACTCTTTGGAGGGGCTTCATGTTTGGAAGCCTTTGTGTCTTAAGAAATTGGGAGGCACAGTTGATTTTTGTCTGATTTTTTATTACATATATTTTGCAGGAGATCTACAAATCTAGAGAGATTTTGTTTTATTCCAGGGTCAGTTTGAAACTGGGGGCTGGATCTACCTGTACAGTGGTGGGGTCAATAGTCTTTAGTGTTAAGAACACAAAATATTTATTTTATTTGTTTAGTGCTTATTTATTTAATATTTGAATGAGATCACTGTCATATTCATGGGGTCTGGGAGTCTGGGATTGTGATCAGTTGTGGCTAATGCTCAAAATGTGCTCTGGAATGAGATTTTGGGCTTCTTAATCCTTCATCTGTGTTTCCATGATAACTTAAAGGTTGCCAGAGCCTTTGTAGTTGTGGAACACCTGTTGAGCAACAAAAAATAGCAAAGGGAAAGGAGGAAAGGCTCTTGAAGCCTTCTTGGCCAAGCAAAGGCACAAGATCTGGGAGGCCTTTGAGCATTTTGTTGTATCCAGTTGCCAAATCAAGCACTTTCCTGGAAAGAGAGACACCTTAGGCTCCTGCATTCCTGTTGGACTGGGTTTTATCCAAGCCGGTTACCCAAGGTCTGATTTCTT